TAATTGTATAATTATGATATCATTATAATTAATTAATTAATTAAATCATAATAAATTTTAATAAAAGGCTGATTTTTGAAATTCCAAACTTGTTTTCTTAATTTTGAAATAGGGAATACATAATATCTTACTTATGAATTTTTCCCTAATTATAATGTATGAGGCCCATTAATAAAAAAAGTTAAAAATTTGCAAAACCGCCATCAGGTCACCGGTTCACGGTTAAACCGACCAGTTCGACATGTTTTGAATGGTTTTTGTGCTAGTCGGTTAATCGGGCATGATTGACCTAATTTTGGATTTGGTTCTACCAATTGAATCGACCGGGCCAGGTCTAACTGGACCGATTTTGATAACACTGTAAATTCTTGTGCATTTCGTTATTTATTTATGCAGTTTAACATTTTAAGAAGTTGAAAAATAATTTTTAATATCATTTTAAACTAAACAAGTTAATACATGACAATTATTTATTTAATTTCTTGCTTACAAAATATAATGTGTGGGTGTTTAGTACAGCAAAAATTGATATTCTCAGTGAAATTTGAGTAAAGTTTAAAGTTTTCCAAGTTTAAATTGAGTAAGATCATAGTCGAGTAAGGCATCTATTGCTCGACTTTGAGATCAGAAAATAGGACAAAAACTAGTTATCCTTATGTTTTAATTTTGTGTATAGTGTGAAAACTCTAATTCAATTTTGATCGAATAATCTACTACGTACATTTCTACCCACCTTCATGAATTTTAACCCCGACATCTATGAAAAGTTATCCTCATTAAATATGGTCGGTGAGCAGGTCGTTAGTTGTCAACATCGTCCTAATTGACGACATTTCTCTCCACGGCTGGCACTCGAAGGACCATATGACATTCCATATAGGGAAAGCAAGTCTTACGGATGAATTTTCACATATACCTTCTCATTAGGAGGTCGAACCAATGACCTACAAAAGTAGTTTCCCTCCCCCATCAGCAACAAAAAGTTTCAGCGACGACTGAGTTTAGCGGTCATATAGTAGAACTTATTTTACTTTCAAAGTGATTTATAAGGGTCAATTGAAGATCGTGTTTTTCCTCTATAAAGACTACAAATGCTTTCAGTGGTTAGGTACCACTCTCTTTTCCTTCTTATTCGGACTTTTTTATGTTCTCGCGTCGCAGTAAATTGGCAAAAAAGAGGTTCATCTCAGTTGAAGGAGAAAGACCTAAAATTGAGAAAAAGATACTGTATAAACGAAATCGTTCCTCCTACTTTAAAATTTGACACACTTATTTAAAAAATAACCTTGACTTTTAATTTAAGTGCTCAATATCTTATGGATTTCAAGTAGTTAAAACAAACTCTCTCAGGATCTTAATGAAATACCATCTATTTGCCTTAACTGTCCTTAAATTGTCCCCATAAGTTCGAATCTACTAAGTGAAAATCATTCCAGACACTATTCTAAGTTCTAAAATTTCAAATCTAATATTACTACTTTTTTTTATTCAGTATATAATTTTTTTTAAACATAAACATAAACACAATCACACATACGCA